TGAAAGTGCTGCTATAACTATTGGGGTGCAAGTGCCCCTATGCATCAGTACTCCTGTATCCTTTGGGCAAACTCCTAGCAGTGCTATTGCTGGTTGTAGGGTAGATCTATTTTTCATTTTTTGAGGAACCTCCACACTGTTTTCCAGAGCAGCTGCACCAATTTGCATTCCCACCAACAGTGCAAGAGGGTTCCCATTTCTCCATATTCTCTCCAGCACCTATAGTCTCCTGACTTGTTCATTTTAGCCACTCTGACTGGCATAAGGTGGGATCTGAGTGTGGTTTTGATTCAATTTGGCTTATTGTTAACTTAGCAATGAATTCTCGTATGAAATTATAGAATGTGTTATTCATTATAATTTTTGAGTTCCCTTTTTTCTCTTTCCTCTTTCAGTCCTTTTATTTCTGCCTTTGTGCTTCACACTCTCCTACTCTTATCTTATCCCCCTCTGCTATCTGTTTTCATTTCTATTCCTTTCTCTCCCTCTTCTTCCCTTCAGTCTCTCTCTCTCCACTGAAAATGCTTTGAATACTTATTTTTAATGAGATTTGGACTTTGATTAGCTAGGGCAGTTTTCCCCTTCTCCATATTAGTCTCACACCTCCAAACTCCTGTCTATTAATCCTGTGTCTGGTCATGTGGAATATTTAATGTATAAGATATGTAATAAATACTGTTCATAAATTAGTTGTATTTTGTAGATCTCTTAAAGCGAGTATATTTTACAAAAACTTATCAAATTAGCCATTTGTTTTAAATAACTGAATTTATTTTCTTCAATCTTATTTTTCTAGCCTTCTTTCTTTCAATTTATGTCTTCCTGCTTTATTTCCAAAGTAGCAAAGAGCATGCCGAAGATGAACAAGATGGTGGAATACAGCATCCCTGGCTCCAGTATCCCATCACAAATATATGGATTAGCAACTATTTATGGACAATACTTTTGTGAAAATCTCAGAGCCAGGGAATAAAACAGAAGCATCCTCCTGGAGCACAAAATCCAAGAAAAGCCACATTAGAAAGGTAAGAGAAGTGCCTTCACTTTGCTAACTTCTTCCCTCCCTCAGGCCAGCCCAATGTATCACCTAGAGGGTTCCTCTGTGTCTATGGTTTCTCTAATGGAAAAGGAGAGACTAAGGTGGATATACAGCTTCCCCAGTATTCCAGAGCACTCCCCTGGAGGCCTACTTCTGCCTTGCCTCATGGGAAATACTGGAGGAATCAGTGAAGCTAGACCATTTGAGGTCAACTAGGAACAAAAAAGGGGGATGGTGGTGAAACATATAGCCACCTATGCATGGATCTTGGCCATGATACCAGGTCTCTGCTAGCAACCTCACACATCAGAGTCCAGCCAGCAGTCTTTCCCCACCTGTGCAGGGAACACAACCTCTGAAAGTAGTCTGCAGCTCTGGGAAACAGATGAGTACAGACAGAGGCACCACCCAACAGCAGAGTTTGGACTAACAGCACAACTCCAGCAGAGGCCTTACCCAATGGTGGTAGTCTAGACAAAAGGATCACACTCCTTGGTGTCCTGGTGTCCCCACCCACCAAAATAGCGACCTCCACAGGTCCAAAATGCTCTGGCTCTCTTGCCTGGGTGTCATGGTGACCCCCACTACCAAAATAGAGACCTCCACAGGTCAAAAACCACTGACTACACTGCTAAGTGGGAAGGGGAGTCATGGCACTCCACTCACCACAGTGGTGATCTCCATGAGTTGAAACAGGCCCACTGTAATACCTAGGGATCCCCACCCCAAGCAGTAGAGTATGCCAGGGTTAACCTGTGTTTCAAAACAGCAGGGTACCCAACTGCTGCAAGTAGCTAGTTCTCCATGCAACAGAGGCCCCCTGGGGCGCTGCTGAAAAGTGGAGTATGGACCACTGAATCATAAATAGAAAATCTAAACAGATCAATGTGGTGCAAGGAGACACAATCAGTAATTAAGCACCTTCCAACAAAGAAAATCCCAGGACAAAATGGCTTCATGGGTAACCAAACATTTAAAGAAGAATGAATGTCAGTCATCCTTAAACTCTTCCAAAAAATTGAAAAGGAGAAAGTGCTTCCAAACTCATTTTAGAGGGCTAGCTTTTCCCTGACGCCAAAACCAGATAAAGACTCAGAATGAAAGAAAATTGCAATTGAGACTTAAATAACACTGGATTTAGGGACACCAAACCCCTACACAGTGGAAAATCTGCCTATAACTTCTGACTCCCCCAAAACCTAACTACTAATAACCTACTGTTGACTGGAAGCCTTACCAATAACAGTGGATTAACATACATTTTGTATATTATAAGTATCATATACTGTATTCTTACAATAAAGCTAGGGAAAAGAAAATGTTATTAAGAAAATCATATGGAAGAGAAAATACATTTACATTACTGTACTGTATTGATACTCTAAGTTTACCTCAACTGTTTATAAGACAAATCATCTGTTAGTACCTACATCAATATTGTCTTATATAATACAAAACATTGCAAATGTTATACATATTACTGACACTAGACATCAAAAATGAAAATATGTAAAAAATTAATATTTGTTTACAAGTATAACAATTCATGCATTGATAACAAAGAAGCAGCACTATGATTGCTTTATGGTAGCCTAGTATAATCAATACAATTACTTTGTGGTGGCTCAGCCTATACACTGATGAATGAGTCATTATAAAATTTTTATGTCATACAGTATTATAGTCATATTCATGATATAATATTGGAAACACTTACTTTTAAAAAATGCATGCCTATGATGATAGGCTGATATGCATTGTCTCCAGTTACAAGAGAGAATTATTGAATGGTAATGTAATTCTTTGAAAGCAAAGTTATAAAACAAAACACATTAATTTTATATTAAA